TGACTCTTAAGCCACCTCAAATATAATTTCCCTGGATGGTGTCAAAACGTAATATCCTTTTTGATTTTTTTTTTTTTAGTAAAACTGTCAAAACTGATTTTTGATATCTAAAGCAAATTCTATCTGCACATATAAGTGTTCTGTGGGGAGATTTATGTCAATGACTTCAGTCGCAAAGCACACTTCCTTTTTTGGAATCTCCCTTATGTATATAACCTGTCACTGGGGCTTACATTACAGAGGACTCAGTTTTTCTGGAAAATTCCCCCTACACAAATATAGTATCCTTGTTACCTCCCAAATGGCTATTGTTCTGGAAATCTCTCCTCTCAGTTCAATTCCCAAATGATCTGGATTGTTCTGTTGCACTGTGATGAAATTAGACTGAAGTGAATATAGCTTAAAATAAAAATTCTGGACCATGGGAAACTGTTACTCATTTTGTTGGCAGTGTGTGTGTGAAGCACAACTGCAAAAATGTGTGGGGGAGGCTCTAAAAATTTTAAGGAGCAACACAACTATGAGGTCGGTATTTTCCCCCAAAATTGTCAAGAAGCGTTTCCTTCATAAGATGGGGCCTTTTGTTGAATACCAAGCGCACAGAGATTTGAGATAAGGACCAGGTCAGCGACTCTTCTTTTCTCTCCCTTTATCTCTGGACAAGGCCAGAACAGCTGGGAGATGCCTGGCCAGCTGTTTTCTGTGGACCCTGCTTGGACAGGTATTATCTCTCTCTGAGCCCCAGTTTCCTCACAGGGACAACGACCCCCTCAGAGATGTGATATAGGTCAAATAAGATTATGTACCGTAAGTGCCTAAGTGGTGGGGACATAGCAAGTGCTCAACAAATAGAAATCGCTACTGGTTTTATCATTCCACTGGTCACTAGTGGGAAGTGTTCCTTCAGCCACGTCACTGCCTCACGTCAACCGCACTCACCTCAGCTCCCACCAGGCCTGCAAGCCTTCCTAGGGGCTTCTGAGTCCTCAAAAGCTAGGCAAAACAGTATCTTCCGGTTGCTTAGAAAGGAGACCGGCTCTCACCTAGCTGTAATCCTTAAAAAGGCTTTGTTGGTGGGCTCGTCACTGTCAGCCGCTCAAAGGCGCCCACTAACATTGCCCTTTTAAGGGGCATGGCTCCCAGGAAGTGCGGGGTGAACCGCCTGGCAGGGACCTGCCCAGGGCTGGTGCTCCGGGGGCAGTGAAAACGCAAATGAGACATGAATATGCTAATGACGTTCGGTTCCCAGTGAATGGGAGAATGTCTGCCAGGACCGACTACCTTAGCGCACGAGGGAGCGAGGAGAGGAAGTCAAGGAGGGCGTGCGGTTATATTGGGGCGGCAGGAAACCAACCCGGGACAGATCAGGCGCTCAGAGGTGTTCTCCTTCAGCGCCCGGGTCTCCTGGCCCCTCTAGCGCCGCCCGTCGGTCCCTCCAGCTCCTCACTGAGGGCTTCGAGGAGATGAGGGCGAGAAGTTGACGAATTTAGGAGCTGAAAGGTTCTTACCAAGAATGCCACCTTGTTTTACGGATGAGGGAAGCTGAGGCCCCTAGTTCACAGTCGCGTAAGACACACTCAATTTAACAGGTTTGGGATTCGTTTGTTTTTACTTGTGCACGTGGAGCCTGGGGTAACCCATTTTGAAAGTGAAAAGGCAGCTGCCCCAAACGTAGCGGAACATGGTATATCACCAAGCGTGTCCCGGACTGCCCACGATGCTAGAGGATTTTGAAAGGTGAAAGGAATTGGGGTGGCAGCCAGTAGCAATAGCAGGCAAGGACAAATGATCATAGCCTGGTCTGGAATGTGTTGCTATATAAAAGGTGATAAAGTTTTCCCGTCTTTCCTGAGAACCAGCTCAGAGAAAATGAAAGGGGAGCAGAAAGGATTAGGGTTACATTTAAGGAAACAACTTTCTCCCAGGGTTGAAAATGGAGCCCTTTATTAAATGACCAAGGAGGGCTGTAGACTCACTCTTCTCCCTCCCACTTGAGACCTTAGGGAATCTACTTCCCTCCTGTCCAACGAGGGCCTACTTGGAGGAGAAGGAATGTGTTGACTTTGAAAAGTCCCACCAGTTCAGGTAGGAGAGCTTTGCCCTGCATGGGCCTCCTGGGATCTTTGCTGAGGGTAAGGATAGCAGCCATTCTGGTTCTGGGGCCCTGGGGGGAGAAGCAGCAGTCATGGCATCTCTTGCAACACGCTCCCTGCCAAATTGATTCAAATTGGCTTGGATATGAACATATGATTAAAGGAGCGGCGTGATTCATTTATCAGGAGAGATTAAAGAGCGGCATCTGCACAGCCTAGCTGGGGGACAATTAAGGAGCAAATCGCTAAGTGTCTGTGCACAGGGGCGGGGGCGGAGGACAGACAACTGGGATAATCTACCAAGGGGACACAAGGACAAAAGGAGATAGTTTGGGGGTCACTACCTGCCACTGTAGTCTCTGGATATAGACTGGGCACCATGGGGAGCCCCACTGGGTTTTGACCCCCACCCCCACCTCTTGTCCAGGTGTCAGGGTAATTCTGAAGGCCTGAGATTAGCCAGGAGGATCTAGAGAGGTGGGTTTGAGCCTGGGATAGGGACAGGTTTGCCTCCTGTTTTTTAAGAATCATATCATACATCTTAGGCACAATACAGCAGTTAGGGCAGGAGTATACAGAGCTCTGAATACACACCCAAGATACACACCCAAGGTGAGGATGGGCTTGGGTGGCCCTGCAGGCCCCTGGACTCCCCTGGGGAGTTGGTGCTGAGGGAATCCTGTCCTTCCCAGACTGGAGCCCAACACTGGGGCCCAGGGGCTTTCCTGTAGCTTGGAGAGGACTTGATCAGGTGAGGTGATGTCTTGGGGCTTCCCTAGAGAGCCTGTGGAGCTCCCTTTTCTGCCTCAGGCTCTTTGCTTAAGCTCTTCTTTCTTCGCAGCATGTCTGTCCCAGCAACGCCTGTGGAAGCTCTATTCTTTTTCAAAGCCCCTGCTCCAAATACCAGCTCCTTTTAGAAGTCTTCCGAGTTCTCCCCAGTGAGAATATCTCCTTTCATAATATGCCCATATCAACTTCTTTGTTCTTCTGTTATGTCTTGTATAATTAGTTCCATGTGGTCCTGCTACAGTCCTAAACCATGAGCCCTTTGAAGCACAGAAGCACAAACACTATGGTTTATTTCCCTCTACTCACCCAAAGTACTTGCACAAAATAGTAGATGCAGTACATATTTTGTGCATCCAACTCATCTGCTATGAAGGAAGGGACCTTATCCATCCTTAGCACCTACATCAGTGCCTCACTCAAAGCAGTTGTGAAACACTTCTTGACAGTTGAGCAAATAAATAAATAATAAAAATTTTCTGCCTTGAACAAAGCCATTTGCTCCAGGCCAGGGTATTGGAGGTTGATATGGGGCTTTCCAGTTAACCACAGGCCTGAGTGAGTGTTGGTGACAGAAATGCCAGGTGGCAAGAAGTTTGTCACATCAGTTCCTGGGAGAAAGAGAAAATGCACCAAGCCATTTGAAAGTAGGGGTAAAGGATGTGAGTGACAGAACCAAACATGAGGAGCCAGCAGTTGGGAAAAAAAAAAAAAAAAGGAACTTCACTTTTACTACCTTCTCTGTTCAGCTTCCTAAGGAACTTTGGTGGTGCAGTGGTTAAGGCGTTTGGCTGCTAACCAAAAGGCTCGTGATTTGAACCCAGCAGCCACTCTGCAGAAGAAAGACGCTGCTGTAAAAATTTACAGCCTTGAAAACCCAATAAAATCAAACCCAAACTCACTGCTGTCGAGTCAGATCCGACTCATAGCAACCCCTTCTGGGGTTTCCAAGGTGGTATCACTATGGAAGTAGATTGCCCAACCTTCCTTCCAAGGAGTGGCTGGTGGGTTTTAATCACCTTGGCACTAAAGCTGTGTGATTCCCTTTCCTGACTACTTGCCCAAACCAGAGCAGCATGATCTACCATCAGCCAAGTGAACACTGATGTCTGCAAGGATTCCAACTGGTCACATTATACAAGGTAGAGGAGTGGGCCTTCTTGCTCTTCTGCGTGAGCTGTGTCTTAGCTGCCAGTGAGGGACAAAGCACATATTGGGGCATGAAGGCGGATACAGAGGAGGGCACAGCAAGGTGCCCTGTGTCCAAGGGGGTTGTGGGCCAGAGATAGTTTTGTAAAATTCTGATTAAAAAGTCATCTTTAGAATGATTAAAATTACACTTTTAAAAAACTTTCTAATGAGAAGGGCTTGAATCCGTGAACAGAAAGTTAGAGAAGACAGAATTTCTGTAGTGAGCTTTAACAATCAGATGGACCTCAACATTCCCACATCTGATCTGGGTTAAGTCCAGTGTGGTGGCCAGGGGAGGATGAGGCCTGGACAGCTCTGCCAACCCAAATTACAAGACACAGACTCTTAAAAGAAAAGGTGGGGTTTGCATCTTCCTCGACCAATTTGCTTATTCCACCTCCTCTGCTGTAGTCCTCAAATGACCCACCTTCATGGTTAAGACTCTGAGTGACATTGGTCTGACATTGGAACAGGTAATTCTTGCAGGCCCCACCAGAATCCTGCCTCTGGTCCCCTCATGACCACAGTGGTCTTTACCTTAATCTGAAGGAGCAGGCAGGAAAACTGGCACGGCCAGGAGGAAAAGGGCATTTATTTCTATACATCAGGTAAACAGGGAAGAGCGAGCATAGCCCAATGAGTACAAACCAACTGCAGAAGAGAAGAGGGGACAGCAGATGGGAGCAGCACCAGGCACTGCCTTGAGCCCCCATGTCTGGTGGTGTTGGTGAGATAGCCTTTTAGGGTGGGAGCTGGGACCTCCAGACTGTATGTTACCATGTCTAGGTAAGTGTGTGTGTGTGTGGGGGGAGGGGGAGTTGGGCAGGGGGAGGGGGACTGACAGGCTTAGGACACAGAGTGAGGACTTAAGTCTAGTACACACCAGCGCTGACCAACACTTCTGTCTTCAGTGTTTCTGATCAGAAGCCCTCAACTCAAAGCCTTCCCTCTCAAGTTGAGTTTATGGTCCAGGCAGCTTGGACAGAGGGAGAGGAAGGCAGTGCTTGGATAAGCCCTGAATTGGCATTAGTGGAATGGGTTTATCTTAAATAGATCATTGCACTTAATACATCGATGAGGGTTGGGGTGGAGCTGGGAGTTCCAGGTGGTATAAATGCACCCGTTTGTGTAGGCTCGCTCATCCCAAACCCAGAACACCTGAAAGCCCCTCCTCATGCTGACTTTTAAGAACCTGGTCCCAGCTCTGCTCACCAGTATCTTCAGCTGCACAAAGAAAGGCCTACTTTCTGGAGAGTAAAGATGGAAATGAGATTCCCCTAGTCGTTTCTGAGGGGGGCAGGTGGGAGAGGGGGCCCAGTTGCCACCCAGTCCCCTCCCGCTCAGGGAGGCAGCTGTGATGAGAGGTTGGGTATTTAAATTAAAAAGTAAAAAGACAGCAGGCACTGAGAAGAGAAAGCCCTCACCCCAAACCTGGGGGAAGGAATTGCTGTGCCCTCCCCCAGCTCGCCCCATGGACCCAGCAACCTAGAATGTCCCAGTAGGCAGTCTGTATGCCCGTCCCTGAGCAGGGAGCTGAGATGGGGGTCAACTTGCTGGCTCCGTGCAGCGCCAAGCCACTTGCCATTGCTCAGCATGGCTCAGGGTGGAAGCCGAGAGTGTGGCATTTCAGAGGCAAGGAGGAGCATAAAGTTCTCTTTTCAGAAGCTCCTCTTTCTCCCACTTCATCCACGTGGATGAAACACCCAGAGCCTGGAAAGTCCCCCGACAGGAGAGGGCTGAGCGTTTTCCATGTAGATCAGCAGTCAGGTGGGGGACACCTGTGCCCCTCTGTTTCCTAGGAGAGGCGCCCTGGCAGCAGTAGGCCAAGGGCGGGAGGGGCTGTGGATCACTTCCCTGGGCTATGCGTTGCTCTCCGCTGGCCTGGCTTCTGTGTCACTGTCACTCAGATAGTTGTGGGAGTATTGGGGTCTGGAGGTGCTGTTGAGAGGGTCGTGCTCATCATCTGACCGGTCAGGGGCAAGGGGCTTCCAGTAGCTGGTGGGGCTGCAGGGAGAGAGGAATAAGATTATGGAAGAATGACCCCCTAGTCCTCAGCACCAAAGCCTTCATATAAAACCCAACCTCAGAGTCTTCATCAGGCTACTGGGTCCGGAAACCTCCAGATCTGCACCCTCCACCACACACACCCCAAGATGAGAAGCTTTGTCCCCTCAATGGAGTGGGGTCATGGCATTACCCTCCAGCTCTATTTACCTCTTTTCCATCTTTCCCAAAGCCTTAGAACCATCTTCCCTTAGCCCTCCTAATAAGTGTAGTATTATTTCAACAAGGTGCCCTAGTGACACAGTGGGTAAGCACTTGGCTGCTAACTGAAAGGTAAGAGGTTCAAACCCACCAGTTGCTCCACAGGAGAGAGAGATGTTGGTAGTCTGCTGCCATAAAGATTTATGGTCTTGGGAACGCTATGGGGCTGTTCTACACTGTCCTGTAGGATTGCTATGAGTTGGAACTGACTTGATGACAATGGGTTTGTTTGTTTGTTTGGGGGGCTATTATTTCAACACCAATGGGGAAAACACAGCCCAGTGTGGTTCCACTCCCCCCAGTGCCTACCCGTGAGCAGGGTCCCTGGAGCTGAAGCCCCACCCAGTGCTCCCTGGAACATAGTCCTGTTACCAGATCCTAGGATCCTAGAGAGCTTCCACTTGGCAACAAAGAATTCTGTGACCCCCATTGCCCAGGACTTACCATTCACCCCAGGAAGGTCTTTTGTTTACTAGCCCTTTTAAGAGTTTCTCTATCCCTAAGCCAAAAGAGGAGGAAACAGGGTTTTGCAAGAAAGAGTCTCACATTCTTAGCTTTTTCAAGTGGATCAGTGAGAGATGCCAGAAGATGTGGTCACTGAGGGACTGACCATGTGTGTGAGGCACTGCCCTGGGCACTCTAAGCTCTCTGGTCTTCACAACCACCCTGGGAGATAGCTTGTCCCAGGTCACACAGCCAGTGAATAAATTTGAACCTGAGACTCAGACCTCAAAGCCTTGCTTACTCTACCTTGCCTCAGGATCTGGTGACCCAAGGAGGAAAACAAGAACCAACCTGAATTCTCCCCACTGGCCTGGCCGAGTGCCCAGGGGTTGTGTAAACACAGACCTCTCTCTCTTCCCCTGGGGGAAGGAAGAGCCTGATAGAATACATGTTCAATTATGCAAAATGGTTCAGGAATGGGGCAGTCTGGTTAATAGTTATCGTATTTCTCATGAATGAATTACCATTTTTAAAGGAATCAAAATAGCACAAAACACATTTAATACAAACTAGGCTGAACATAAATGAGTCCTACTTTGATGGGCCAAAGGCACTTAAGGACTCGGGTATCTCGGGAACAGAATTGTAAAGCTCAACGAGGGCTATGCCTAGAAAAAAATTGGGGTTATTTTAGCTTTGGGGTTGTTGAAATAAGTGGGAGCCCGTTTTTTCATTTTTAAGGTAGAATTCCTGGGTGCCCAGTGCTAAAGGTCTGCTGTTAAGCAAAGGAATGACTACCTTGTGGAAAGACAGTGGGGTGATTTTTGTTAGGGGGGGTGAGGCAGATGTCAGGACTGGGATCCAGATGCAAATGAGGTGGCTGAGCGAGAACAGCAGGGCGCTGGGGGACAGGGCCACACCTGTGCTCCTTTCTGTCCTCTAGCTTCTTCTGAGTGGGGGATGGGGCCCCACCCCCATAATTTTGTGTTTGTCAGGCAGACCCCTGGATAAATTTCAGTCCACTGAGACTCTGGGAACAGTGGCAGAGGGAGCTAGGGGGTGGTCAACTGCATGCTTCTCCCTTCTTGGCTCTGTGCAGCCACCAGATCCCCCTGCTTCTTCCTCAGGTCTATAACCAGGTTCCTTATTGGCTTCTACTGCCCACAGCAGCCAGCAGCTACCCACCCTCCCCAGTGCAAGAGGACTGGCAATTGGAACATTTTAACCAAATTGTTTAAAAAGCTTTCCTCCCCACAAGCCAGTGTCTCCTGCTCAGTGCTGTCACAAACAATTTGGTACATAAGCTAATTCTTGCTGGGAGAACCTGGGGTGGCAGCCTCCCTTCCCTTTGCTATGGATGCTACATTTGTTCCATCTTTCGAATTCTTGAGTTCTCACTGGTCCCTGTTACCAGATGGGAAGTTAAGCAACCACTCTGTCCCCTGCCACTATGCTTGGCAGTTTATCTGCCCCAAAGCTAGTGAGTGCTGAGTGCCAACTAGCTCCTCCCTCCCTGGTCCCATCTCTCCGGCTCAGCATTGGGCGGCTGGGGCCTGGCTTGGTGCCCATTCTACCAAGAGTGCATCCAATCCTTGGAGATGGTGGCGTGTAGGGTTTCACGCCTACTCCTGTTTTCCTGGTGGACAAGAGGAATTGTGCCAGTGGCTGGTGGAAGAAACAGGCTGTATGTGTTTTTGTTCTTGCTGGTTGTGTGTGGTCAAGGGTGATGGTGGGCTAAGGGCACTGGGATCTGAAATCTGTCAGCCAGCAAGGAATGGCCTAGCTAGGCCAACATCTTCCTCTTCAGGTAGGGGCACAATGCTCAGAAGGGCCTGGTCCTTTCTTTCCAAACCTCCCTCCGTCGTCCATTAACTGACTTTTTCTGCCTTGGAGGGGCCCTGCTTGGCAGGAATGCTAAGGGGAAGGCTGAGAGGGTAGACACAATATTGTGACTCTTGTCTTTTCTCCCTATGGAGCTACAACAGCTCCCCTGTGCAGCTGCAATGCTTCCTGCTCTTCCCAATGCACCCTGCGACCATCTCTGAGGGAAGTGAAAGAGTAGTGGGAACACCAAGGGCTTGGTGTCAAGCTCCAGGGCCTGAGAAATCTGGCTTGCCCATGAGTCTGCTCTGGGTTCAAGCTCCACTTCAACTCCCCACACCATGCCATGTCCTCAATCCTATCCTATCCTATCCCATCATGCACCTCTAAAGAGCTGCAGTTAACATTCACTTCCTGTTGCTCCAGTCCATAGACTATAACTGGTCCCTTTTGGTGGTAGTGGTGGTGGTGGTAGGTGCCGTCCAGTCATCTCCTACTCATAGTGATCCTGTGTACAACAGAACGAAACACTGCCCAGTCCTGTGCCAGCCTTATAATCCTGGCTATACCTGAGCCCACTGTTGCAGTCGCTGTGCCTGCAAGTACCATGGACTGCCAGAAGAACTAACAAATCTGTCCTGGAAGAAGTGCAGCCGGAATGCTCTTTGGAAATGAGAATGACCAGACTCCGTCTCACCCTTATGGTGTAACCCAGCCAAAGTCAGCATATTTCTTCGGCTGCTCTGCCACAAAGGAGGCCCACAAGCATGCGACAGGTGTGTGTTAGTTCATGCATTTAGGAAACAAATGCCTCCATCCCAAGGGGCTGCACTCTGGGCACACCTCCTGGGAAGCAGCAAGCTTGCCCTGGGAGGGTATCCTGCTGAGAACAGTTTCGCATAACCAGGGTGATCCAAAATGTCAACAGTCACTGTGGATTTGGCAACAATGGGATTCCAGTGAGTCAGGCTTTGCCTTTCTTCTGTGGTGGGGATGTGGGCACAAAGAACTTAACTGCTAGATCTCCCTCCCTGCAGAGAGAAGAGCTGGGGGAGGCAGGAGAGTCAGGAGGGGGTTGTCACTCAGCAGCTGCTAATTTCTATTCATTAAAACTTTACCAGATGAGCAGAAACATGGTGACGCCCATGTGTGGGCTTTAGGTGGGAAGGCTGGGGAGGGAGTCAGGCATCTTCAGGGACTGCTGGAGGGTGTAGGTGGCAGCCCTGTGAGCCATGTACTGAGGCTTGAGATCCACACCAAGTGGAGAAGTGGTTTTGCAGGGGTGAGGAGAGCTGAGCAAAAGGCCCCATAATAACAGCTTATGGGTACTGACACATCAGCCCACACCTGTGGTGTCAGCTAGCCCTTTCCTGGATCCAGCCTGTCTGGGTCATGGACAGAAGCTCCCAGCATGGGTGCTGCCTGGCATATACAATGAATATGTTGAACATGTGCTTTGCATTGTGCCTTCAGGGGAGCAGTTAAAGGCAGGAGTGTTGGAGTTAAACAGACCCCACACAGATCCTGGCAACATCACTTCCCAGCTGTGTAACCTGGACAAGTGATTTAACCTCTCTGAGTCTCAGCTTCCTTACCTATAAAATACAGCTAACCAGATCTTTGTTACGAGATTATGGTGAGGATTA